AATGCATATAAATGATAATAATTTTGATATATCAAGTTTTACAATATGTTATAGAAAATGGTACATACCAGTAGATACAAGTAATAATGTAATTTGCAAGGGAAATAAATCTACAAATATCGACAAACAAAATTTATAAAACTAATTTTATGAAATGTCCAAAATAATATTTAAAACATTTATTGTTTTATAACATATTTGCCATGTTTAACACACGTGCTAAAATATAGAAAATATTATACAACACAAAATACTTAATAGAGATATATCTAGTACGGTCTAATCTACAAAATATAAAAACTTAAGCAATGAAAAGTTTTTAAATCTCTGCAGATCTGAGTTTGTAGGAAATTTCGGTAAATAAAATATCAAAATTTTACAAAAAAAACACTGAAATTGAAATCTGAAGTTGGTTAGCTATATTCTACCTAGAGCCGGACAATCTCCCCAACTGGCTGTTGGACTAAGGGTCTGTTTTGGACAGCTTATAAGTGCGATGACATTTTCAAAACACCGCCTCACTTTTTTGTTTCTCAGGGCAATTTTTAAAAACTGTGTTTTCTGTCTATTCTCTATAACCGCTGGTATATATCGCCCTCCACCTTTTACCCCCTTACCTGGGACTGACGGAACGCTTCGAAGAGCGGAGGGAAGCAAAGATTCACTACCGTAACATTTCCCCTGTTCCTCGTTAGGGATTCCTCTTCTTGCTCGTCGTCGGACACTGGTGCCGCTTGGGTAACGCTAGGGAGAAGAAGGGTATAAGAAGTGGACGTCGATATGATGGATGCCAGTCTAGAGCTTCAGGAATCCGATTGGGAGGAGCTAAGGAAGGAGGCGAGGAAGATCGAGGGGGAACTTGACATTAAACTGTCTTCCAAAGACAAACTCGCGGCCATATTTTCCCATTCTTCAGGTATTCCCCTCTGCTTCCCGGGTGCTAGATCTAATTACCAAGGTTGTGGTGAAAATGGTCTGTAGATGAATGTGATGGCTAGACTTGGCATCCAAATTTCTCTCTTTTCCATTGCTTGCTGGTTTACATCTGCATATGTTTCACATTGTATGCTTAGTTTAGCAGTTTAGGAGAACATTATGTTGGTGATGCATTTTTTGATTGAAATTTGCCATTCCATACCGAATTAATTTGGGTTTGGAAATAACAGAATTGCATAATTTAAAAATCATTCCTAAAGCTATCAAGTCGCATTCTTCAAATAAGAAAAGCCTTCATGTGGGGAATCCTCTTAAATAAGAACGTCTTCATAATCAGAGTTAGATCTGATGACAAATTGGAGCAACAACTTCATCCTTCATTTGGTTCATCTGGATGTGAATATAATGAGAGTGTTTTTCAACACGCAAATACAATGTGAAAGTGTTCCTTGATCGATAATAAAATACTAATTGTTTTAGTAAATAATTGCATATTAATAAGATGCAAGATAGATCTTAATTTCTCCAAGGTTTTGATCTATTTGAAATATGATAAGGTTTTGAGTTAGAGATAAAGGTATTTAACCCATACCTTTGATTGTCATGGATGATGGCAATGAATGGTTAAGTGGGAAATTGAATGATGGTCTATTTGAAGGAGATAAGCTTTTGTTTGGTGAAGAGGGTGATAAAGAAAATTAATCCATAAATTCTTCATAGCCAAACAATTACAATCACGTCTTCAATACATTTCTCGTAACATCGCTTCCATTTGTTATATCATTTTGATTTGGTACAATTTTATGAATTTTGGTGATGCATTCAAACTTTACATGCTACTCATATGAAGCAAAATTTAGCCCCTTAAAGGGGTGGTGGGTGGGGGGAAGGATTTAACCCTATCAAAATTCATATAAGACTTTTTTGAATTTGTTTGTTCATACAACAAAAATCTGAAAAAATCTACAAATCAGCTGTTTTTCAAACGCACAAACCAAATAGCTAAACAAATTATCCAAAACATGGGCAAAATAATCATTTATCCAAAATAAATTATTTTTTAAACGCACAAACCAAACAGACAGACAGCTTATCTGGATCAGTTGCTGATCAGCATATTATCATGATAAGGTGGATAAGCTGCAGCTGCCCCAAAAAAACCCTAAATCTGCTTTATGACCCCTGAATTAGACTTTCTCTCTCTAAAATTATTTTTTTCTCTCATACTTTCTCTACGCATCTCTGTTGGAGAATGGGAAAAAAATGAAAAATGTATGATGAGGGCTCCAGATAATGGCTTCTGATACTTATGCATAATAACTAATTTTGTTTAGAAGGATATAAATGATTGTTTTTATTGTTATGTTTTTATATATAAACTTTATATAAATCTATTTATATCTTGAAATATATGATTTCAAAAATTATTAAAAAATAATTAATAAATAGAAAAACATGTCTAGAAGATTGTGAAAATGATTTGCAAAACACACTAAATGGATTTAGAAAGTTCATTCATATAAGGATGTATTAAATCCTTAAAAAAGAAAATTCTAACAAAAACATCTTATTTATGATACTCATAAAAATAAGTAAAAATATGCTAAAATATAGTACTCCATAATCTGATAAAGACATTTCATAAATCAAACATGACACAAAATTGCTAAAAATTGATAAATAAACTAAGCATCAAATCAATTCCAAAAACTATAAGAAAATTAATAGACATAAAATAAGCATGCAAGGCTTATCAGATCCCAAAATCAAGTCTTAGCATATGCACTAGTATACTACAATAGTAGCTATTACAAGCGCCAATTTATCTCTCGTTACGGCCTGAACCGAAGGGAAAGTTCAGCATCCCCAACCACCTCACTGATGCTTTATGTGACCCTATTGGAAAGGCCAAGGTGTTGGTGTGGAGCTCAATCCAGTCCCGCCACCCAATCCCGCTCCCGACTCTGATGAAAGGTCGCGACCCCTCTCCTCTGTCGCGAAATGTCGCGCCAACTGCTCCCGCCTTTGATGTTCTTGTTTCAGCGAAGCAAAGCTTCGCTTCACCCCGCTCAACCTCTCTCGCTCCCAGTTTAACGTTAGAAAGGAGCGGCTCGCCCACATCCTTTTGTGTTCTTCTTTAGTTTCCTCGAGATAGAGGAATATTTCCTCGGGATAGAGAAAGAGAAGTGCAAGGAGTATTTCCTTACAGCAGCAGGAAGAAGAAACAAAGAAGAAGAATATCGTTCTCCCTTGATTTCTTCTTGGTGGTTTGTGACAGAAGAGAAATTGAGTTTATTTCTCTTGTAAGTTTATCTTCTTCGGTGTATCTTGGTGTAGAGTTTCTTCAGTGTATCTCGGTGTAGAGAGAAGAACAGAGAAAGAAGAAGAGAGGGCAACGAACTGAGAGATTCCTCTTGTAAGTCGAGACGATCGACTGATGTAAATTCCTCAAATAGTAAAATCCTCTGCAACTCTGTGGACGTAGGTAATTTGCCGAATCACGTAAATCTGTGTGTTCTGTTGTGTTACTGTTTTCTGGTGTGAATTTTTTTCATTTTATTTTTCGCTTCATCAAAAGATCGTTCTCCTATTTTATTTCTATATATATACCACAACAACTGGTGTATATCTCATAACACAGGGATCGATAATTGTTATGTTCAACAACATTCCGGAGGACCTTGTCAGACTATGAGTGAGCTACCTATTAGATTAAGGTGCTTCACCATCTGTGCTATAACCTGACCAGAGCACTTTATTCAAGGATCAAGAATTAAAAATAGGAGCAGGATTGTCGGCCAACAAAACTGAGCCGACCAAGCTAAATCCGGCTGACCCAAAGTCAGCCCATGGTCGACCAACAACATTAATCTAGCATAGCCAACCGAGTGGTACTTGCCCCACAAGCTTATATCTGTATAATACCCAAAATAACATGTAACGCCCCCATTAAAGCAGGTGCAAACATATAATTACACATACCCCTCTTATCTATAAATAGGTGATCATTTATCATAAGGAGCTAATCAATATTCCAAATTACTATTTAGTACTATGCATCCCCCTCTCCTTCTCTCTGCCGTGTTAAGCTTCGTTTGAGAAGACGATGAACCTTCATTGTGTTGCAGTGAACACCGACACTTGTGAAAGTCTTTGTTTGGTGAAGCAACGCCAGCGGAGCGTCTTCGGAAGTTATTTGCAAGAACGTCAATTTTTCATCATTTTGAACGGTGGAGGACCTCCGTCTCACCAATGCTTATTTCAAAAGAAGTTCGTTGAACGGCGAAAATGCTTCAAACGAAGCCTTAATTAGGATCAACAAATCTGAATAAATTCATTGTTCTCCAAATTTATTTGCGACCTCAAGCAATCAATTGCAGTCTTTTGTCCAACATGCTTTGGGAAAGTGCATAAAAGTTAAATAAGATTTCCTAGAAAAATGATTTAAGTTAACTTTTTATAAACAGATAACTTTTTTTAAATAATTATTAATTTATTATATTATTGAGGGCCTGAAGCCATCGAAGGGTGAAATCGAAGATTGTTGTATGCATGCGAGTTTGTGCTGACATCTATGGCAATTGTCATTGTTGCAGAATTTAAAGAATAATTTTAATATAATTAGCAAAATTTTATCTAATTAATCGTAGATCAAAACATAGCAAAGCAGTAAAGCACTGCACAATATTGCATGAAAAAGCACATTGCGACAGTGCGTTAAAAATGAAATGCTAAAACAATATATTTGCCAGATTCCTGCGAGAATATGGTGATAGAGAACAGCTTCATATGCGTGGGCGACGACGGTATCGCCATCAAGAGCGGCTGGGATCAGTACGGCATAGCCTACGGCCGCCCCTCCACCAACATCTTAATCCGCAACGTCACCCTCCGATCCGTCGTCAGGTTTACCTTTTCTGAAACCCTAATAACCCTAACGAACCACCCCAATCTTAACTTCATTTCTAACTCTCACTTTCCTTCCATTACCAGCGCGGGTCTATCGATCGGCAGTGAGATGTCCGGCGGCGTTTCAAACATAACGATGGAAGACATCCACGTCTGGGAATCGCGGCGCGGCGTCCGCATCAAGACCGCCGCCGGCCGTGGCGGCCTCATTCGTGGGCGTGCACGGGCGAGAGGTGCGTGTGCCAGTGCGCATCAGTGGCAGCGATGAGATACCGGTGCGCGGGGTGACTCTGAGGGATATGTCTGTGGGTTTGAGTTACAAGAAGAAGCGTGTTTTCCAGTGCTCGTATGTTGAGGGACGGGTCTTCGGGTCTGTCTTCCCGGAGCCCTGTGACAACCTCGACCGCTACGACGAACATGGCCGCCTGATGAAGAAGTCTACCAACCAGAACGACACGGACATCGACTACGGTTTTTGAGAAGTGAGGGCTGAGATTGAACGCGCATGGAAAAAAAAACTGGATCAGAATATTTTGATCTAGTTTTTTTATTTTCCATTACATACGGTATGTGATCCATTAATCTTTCATCCTCGCTTATATTTTCTTAAAATCAAATCTTTATCTAGCACAGATCTTAAATATTTAAAGAATTAGTATTCTAATTTTTTTTATTTATAATAGTAACACTTAAAATTTGAAAAGTGTCATAAATTATGTGTGTTTATTTTCAATAACTTATCAAATTTATAATTAATTAGTTATGTCACTTATTATTTATAAATGCATATTTTTTTGTTGTTTATTTAAGAATTTGAACTTTAGTTCATGTAAATCTTATTTTTAGAGAAGAAAATTGCAGTCGAGTTTCTCTCCAGATACCTACTTTTATATGAAGTTGCTTGAAAATCTTAAGGTGCGTTATGATTTTTTGAACAAAATTAGTTTTCTTTTTTTCTCTATGTAATTGTTCTTTTAATTTTTGCTTCAGTTCATTTTTATGTGGAAATCTTTGAACGCATGCTCTTTTGCTCCTTTTGTGAAATATTTTCGTTCATGCTGCAAATTTCACATTAAAACATTACAATCATCCTGAATACAAAAACCAACCTTTTTAGTATATTATATATATGAAAATGCCCTATTTTGCTCCAGTCACACTTAAACAAACTTCATGTATGGCACATGAGAGAGATAAAAGAGAGAACAAATTATTAATCTTATGTGACTATTTGCATTCAATTCCTTTGCCAAACCGTCTATCAATGTCAAGTTTGTTTACGCTGTGGGTAGACTTTTTATGGCTTGACAAAACTACAATTTCAAATTTGACTAGAGAGAGAGAGAGAGAGAGAGAGATTCATATTTAGCTTGCTTAGAAATTTTTATGACCAAATTGTCTTATACTTGGCTACTCTAAATTATTTGAACACATAATTTATGTTAGTAACCGCATAAAATTAACACAAAAAAAGAGCAAACCCCCTTTCAGCCATATTCTGATTTTTTTCACTTGGATGATAGATTTAGGATGAATCTCTAACTTGATAGCGGGGAAACACGCCTCTAAACTGTAAGGCACATGAAAGTCTAATATATATTGCTTTCATTAGTACAACAACCTTTGATTAAATCTTGTTTTGCAATTGGAGTTTCTTTGAGATATCACTGGATATATTAATTTTGCACTTTAAGGTCTAAAAATTTTGTACCTTCTATGGGTTATCTGGAAAGTTCATCCTGCACTTTATGATTTATTATGTATGTGCAACGTGTCTCACGAATTAGCTTCTCATTCAAAGGTTGTTTCTTTTGTAACGTAATGATATCTTACAAAGTTATCATTGTGTTATCATCATAGGAATCTATGGTCAAGCTAGAGGTTTTACTTTTAATTCCCCATATTTCAAGCATTTTTAAAGAGCATTGTAAATGTCATGAGCTATATCTGGAAGACTATCATCAATAAAATTTAAGGCACTCTTTCTTAACTTCCACTTATTATCAATAAAATGTTCACCGATAGTTATATATGTATTTTTTCATTAACATTCATAAGTTTATTTTCCTGTCAATCATTCAAACTCAACAACATTTTCAATTATTTCTTCTTAATTTCATAAAAGCTAACACAATTTTGTTGGGCTATCACTCGTGGTATGCTTCATACTTCATGAAAAAGAAAGATAATTCTTTAATCATGATTCTTTGAGGTCTAATATCTAATTTAGTATGGTCATACTTGCAAGTTTACACTGCACCCCACTCCCACTACTATATCAAGAGTTGGTTATCCTAGTTACATGCACTTTCCCTTTTTTTAAATTTTTTGGACAAATTTTAAAATGTCTTTTTAGATTAAATCCCAAAAATACTTTTGACACCCCAAATGTTTGAGTGTAGCCAATTTAGTTATAGAGTGTCACATTTTTCAAATTTAGCCTTTTAATTTTACAAAATAGATCCAAAATGTTCCTTTTGTAGAAGTTATGAAACTAAACTGATCTCATCTTTGTCTCTCAACTATATAAGATTAATTATAATTTAGTCTCTGAATCAATTTGGATCAATTTCTTAGTCCCGAGGCTAAATAGGAAAAATGTGATACTCTAGAATGATCAGAAGATTATTTTGAAGTGTCACCCATATTTTTTATGTCGAGTTGTTGCATCAACCTTATTTTTACAATACTTTGTCATATATTTTCAACTATTTGTCTATTTTACTATTATGAAGTCTTTCCAAAATTTTGAAGTTTTTTCTTTTCCTCTTTTAAAAAAGTTTCTTAAAATTATTATAATTAAAATTTTTCTTAAGTCCTCTTTTTGGGAATATTTGCAATCATGTCAATAAGAATATTTGCTTGAGTATCATTCATGTTTTGCCCACAAGAAGAGTCAGTATGGGAATGTATGTTTATTGATTGCAAATTAGGAGCTATAGGTTGTGAACTATTGAAATATTAATGTGTGTGTCGGCTGTTTTAATTTTGGTTTTGAAAAATATTAGAAGATATGAAAATAGTTTTGATATGAATATGATTTTTGAAAGTAATATTTTGATTTAAAAATACGTGAGACCAAATGAGTCTCACATTTTGAATAGTTTGGATGACTAAGCACGATACCACAAGCAATACACTTATCCCGAAAAATAAATATATTATTTGTAGTGGGCTCAATCATCTAAACTAAAAAATTTGTGACATCCGTTTGGTCTGCGAAATATTTTTTATGAGGTCAACAAGTTCCCCTACCTAATATAAAAATTATATAAGGTTTATTTTATCTGGGTTTCAAGTTTTTTATAGAGGCATGCTCCTATAGTTAATTACATCTTAAATGACCAGGATCACTTAAGAAAACTCTCGATTAAGATCAGTGGTTTTGCCTTCAAGATTTCAAAGTTTAGGTTTTCAAGATTGGACATGAGAAAATCAAATGGGAATATCTCAAAATAAGGACAGTTATTTTAAGGACTTCAAAGGAAAAGAGTAGGGGATATCACGGATCCGGGGAGAACCCCGGCGACCTCCCAACTATCCTATTGTTTGACTTTATGTATTTGAGATGATGCTTATTTAATATTTCAATCCTACAAATTATTTAAAATTTAGGACTTATATTCGCACGATATCTGATCGTGCAAATAACCTAAAAAAATAGGAGGATTTACACCTTACCGGACGGTAACCTCGGAATCCTAAAGTGTTATGACTTATAATTACACAACATGGTTGTGTAAAAAACCTAAAAGGTGATCCTATGGGTTGTCATTTAAATTAAAGAGGGTGATAGGTGATGTGAATGTGTTTTGATGTTGCAGATCCATTTTGAAGTTGTTCCTCGTCGTGCTGCCCATGCTGTTCGCTCCAAGCTCTTCGTCGTAGCATTTTCGGGTTTAGTTTTAGTTTTGAAAATGCACCTAACCATTATGCTATCCTATACTAAGGCATAGTGTATATCAAAGCAGATAAATCGTGTGATATATAAAAGAAGAAAGAAATAATATTAGAAAGGAACAATATTACATGTCAGGATAATACTATAACAAACTAAAGAAACAGTATAACGAGTTATGCAAAACAGTATACATGCTAGAAAAATAACATAACAGACTACAATATAACAGACTAGAAAATGGTACAGTAGGCTATGCAAAACAGTATACATGACGGGAGGAAAAGTATAACGTGCTAAGAAATAAAATACTGTAATGTAAATCAAACATGTATATTTGGGAGTCTTGCTGCTCTCTTAAGTTTAACTGGCATGCGTTGTGCAAAAGGAGAAAGCATGACCCGAAAAACTTGAGAAAGCAGACAAATCGTAGGAAGAAGACAAACAAATAAAACAAAATACAATATCCCCAATTACCAGGAGGATCTGAGTGTAAGACTCAAACTCAAATCCTGAAACATTGGATTTCAGCTTTGGTCAAGTTAAGACAAGAATTTCATTATTTGATTTAATTAAATCAGTCATGAATCACAATCTAGTGCACCATCGTGTCTAGTGTCCTAATTAACTTATGAACTAAGGTCAGATGTCTGACTTCTTAGATTCATTTGAAAATTAGGATGATGAACTCTCTCTCAGGGTGTGCTCTTAAGACCTAGGAAGCCTACACTTTAGTTTGAGCCTGAAGTATTCTAAAATGTCTATCTTCAATTAAGTGTCTTTCAAATGATCCTCGGACATCTTTAGATCAAGCTTAACTCGCTATTAGGCTCTTAAGATCTAAGGGTAAACCTATAAATTTGACAAAAGGGGTGTGAAATGTGCTTCAATCCTAGTTAAAACAATTGGGTTTAAGTTTATTCAAAGCTTAACGGACCTAAATGTAAGTCTATTGATCTTTAAATCCATGCTCCTAATCATCATTTAAACTCTTAATTTCTTCCAAATCTCAACTATTCTTCCAATTACAATTTCATATTTTTTATGCAAAAAGAATGGTGAATGATTTACTATCATATTTACTCCTTAGATTTCTATCATCTTGTTGACCTCATTTTTAGTGAGGTCTAGTC